AAGGGGGAAAAAGAAGAGCATGTTGTTGTGGTGTTGGCAGTTGTGTTTGTGACTGAGGGAGGGCATACACAAACTAAGACTGAGGGAGGTCATACACAGAGTACGGTCTTGTGAATGGTGCTACCGTCATCACCAGAATAGAAGAACGCCAAGTGATTATAGCTGTATTTGGGGCAACTTCCAGTCCATATACAGCCATAATTCCCAGGTGTTCTACTTGGGTGACGACAGTAGTCGCTCTTCCAAGCACGTATGCTATGAAACATCGCAATACAAGCATATCATGTGTTTGCTGCCCACTGAATGAATGAATCAGTCGATCAAGCGAGAGAAGGTTAACGGAGACCCTAATTTTCAGACCACTTGTCATGCCATTTATATGAAAACCAAAGGGTCAGTTTAATCGAACTTGCCACCAATTCGTAGAGTGGAGACCATACTAACTAACTGCAAAAAAAAATCCAAAAAAAGATAATAAAAAACATATAAAACAGCAAGCAAAAGTGCATTTTCATGAATTTTGCCAACATCTCAATTTCAGGAACGCCCGCCTTGATCGTGAGGAGGCGCGGTTGCAGTCTATGCTAAGGTGGGAGGGGAGAGAGGCATACGAGGCCAAGCAGTGCAGGTTGAGGGAGTTGGAGACCGGCGGAGCACGGGCTGGTGGTGGTTCGCAGATGGACAGCGGTGGACCAACTGTTGGTGTGCGAAGTGATAGTGTCGTGGAGGGGGAACGTGGACCCGAGAGCGGTGGTGGCACTGGTGGTGGGCCCCATGGAGATGACGGCAATCACGACGTAGGAGTTCATAGCTCGGACGACGACGACGGGGGAGAGGCCCGACATCAGGATATCATCGACAGAGTGATCGTTGGCCTTTGCGCAGCAGACATGAAGGGTGGGATGTCGGGAGCCCGTGGCACTTCGCAGATGGGGGATGCTGTTATGGAGGAGGCAGGGTTGTGCACTGACTGTCAGGGCAGTGACGCCAGTGCAGGACGGAGTCCTGTCATGGAGGGCGGGCCCCACATTGACCAGGAGGCACGGTCGTCCCCATCGGAGGACGCAGCGGGAGACATGTCCCTCGCGTTGATTGTGAGGTCCCCGTCAGCTTTTTACGCCGACGAGGGCCGTATTGGTGGCCGGTTGGACGAGAGGCTGGGGGAGTGCAACCCACCCACTCTTGATCCAGAGCAGTTGGAGTGCACGGGGATGGAGGACCCTTATGCTTACACAAGCCGGAGGAGGAATCCCCGCCAACCGCTAGATGGATTCCGTCGCCTCCTAGGTGGGTTTCTGAGAACCCTCGATGGTCAGAATCGTCTCGCAGTGGTGTCAGAGGGCAAGAGGCCTCGGACAGGCAGGCGGCAGCTGGTTTTGGGGGGGGGGTCGGCTGGAGACATGCACCCACCACGACCACCACCGCTGTTTGCATCACCACAGTATGGGCGTACTAACGGCAGAGCAGGTACTGCAGTGGCATCGAGCAGTCGAGGGGCATCACGCGGTGGGTGGTCGTCTCGCAGACGAGTCACGTAGCGTTCGGGGAGGGATTACGATCGTGGACAAGGGCTTTTTGCACGAGGTTCGTCAGTGGGGGCAAATGTGGGGGACGCGGGTTTGGAGATGTAGGACGACCGAATGTGCACACGACATGTATCCTGGGATTGTCGGAGAAACAGATGAGGAGGCAGGTGGTCTTTCCGGCCCCAAGTGTTGTTGATGATGGACGTCGAGGATTGCTTTACACATCATCGGGTGAGGAGGGTGATTTACATATGTCAGCAAGTGCACCACGTCATGGATCCATCAGTAGCCTAGAAACTCAAATTGCTACCGAGCGACAACATTTGGAGGACTTGGTTCGAGAGCGTGATAGGCTGACCGAGACGGACGTACATTGGGACGAGGCAGACACGGAGACAGAGCCTATCGATGTTGTTGCTCAGAGGGACAGAGCCAGAAGAGCAGCGACTACTGCCGCAACAGAGAATCCACATGCCGAACCTCGACACGCAGAGAGAGTGGCACATGGGCGGGGACATAGTGCACCTCCCGCGAGCAGATCAGGCGTAGCACGTCATGGGACTCGTGCGAGGTGCAGCTGGAGGAGTTAGGAACTTTTAGATTACATTAGCTTGGTTGTTTCTACTTTTTCTGTTATTTTATCTTAGGTTGGTACTTTAGTTTTTAGGGATTTTTTTTTGTTTTTTTTTATATACATTTGTAGCTGATATGCCACGAACCTGTTCGACGCAGGTGGAGTTGGTATGTTGTATTTTATCCTGGTCTCATACCGTCAGCATGTCTTTGTCCACGTGGACACAGTCACATAGGTGTTTCATTTGGTGGATGCATTCCGAGGTGGGGATGTGATGTTATCTATAGTCAGGATACTTGGTATTTTTCGTATATCGACATATGCAGACCTTACTTTGCCACTTGCTTGTTTTGTCTTCATTGACTCATCTCCCTTTCTATGTGCTCATGTAACCCTTTTGCGCGACCTACCCGAACATGCTCATGTATGGTGGTTGATATTGGTGTGTGACATTGTGTGTTTCTGTGGTCCTGTTGTTAATTGAGCTCTCGAACCTGATGTAGAGTACATTTGATGCATGGTCTGATGATGTTCATACTTTGCTCATTCCATTGCGCTAACACTTGTTTTGTCTGCTATTTTTTTCAGGTCTTCGTTGCCGAGAATTCTATTAAACCCCCATTGACCCACCCCAGAATGGACCTTCGCACACCCCCTAGCACCTCCCCCCCCGCCACCTAGTGGCACCCGCCCTCCCCTCGCCCGTACCCCCTCTCAAAACCTTCTTCTGGACAAGACTCCCCAAACCAGGTGCAGGCTAAAAGAAAAAATTATTTATTTGTTTACAGTGGAAGTATACCCCCCCCGCCAACACCCTGGCGCCAACAAAACTTCGGTTAGAAGGGGTCCTTCATTTTTTTTCACCCCCCCTTATACTCCCCTAAAACCACCCCTCTGCGTCGCAGTAGATGCCCCCCCGCTGCCCGGATCCGGTCCCCGCCTCCCCGCACCCTCTCCCCTTGGCCGCAGCGGGCCGACTTTGACCGCAGCCCCGTGGCCACGACCGCGGGTCGCGGTCATGCCCGCGGTGACCGCGGCCGCGGGGGATTCGTAGTTATGGACACTAGCAGCTACGATACGTCGTCATGTTGGCAAGCACCTCAGGCTGTTGTGCACTTTTACCTGCTCCTTCCTTCCAAGCGAGATCGTGGGTTACTGGATCCTCTCTCCAGAACTAGCCGCAGCTGGGTAATGGCCGCAAGGGTCTCGTCCCACTAGCGGAGGATTCTACGATATGTGACATCATTTTTGCATTTTTTAATGGTTTTTAAGTGGTTTTAAACAATCTGACGAGTCAAAAAATATGAATGAACTGTACCGAGGAAGAGTCCAAATGCATATACAGTATTCTCACGTTGCTAGGCCCTACGTCCCGACTGCAATAAAACGGCCACGTCTTTGGTAGTACGGTAACGAGTAAACAACACCGCGCGAAGTTTCCAAAACACCCCCCTTCCAAAAGCCTGAAAATCCGTACCATCGACAATGTTCAATATCAATAAAAAAAATCCAGTACCGGCCACTTCATTGGTCGGTGCTTTCTAATGGGCATCACTGTAAACTGCAGCAGGCCGACCCGTAGGTGCTAAGTGAGATGTGCGGTTCGCGTTTGTCACCCCCAGCCGCATGTGATCGAAAACGTCAACGACGAAGTAGAACACCTCGGTACTAGGACGGTGTCGGGGCAGAAACCCTGACAAGGGTATCTGCCCGGGTTTTTCCATGTCAGACGTTGTCTGACATTTTCATTAAAATGGGACTTGATGGGATTGACGTTGCCAAAAGTTTATTCATACCTACCCTATGAGCGAGAAGACTACAATTGTTTAAGTCTTGGTTCGGGCGCTTGTGACGTCCGACAGGAATAGCGGTAGTCGCCAGTGTGACCGGTTAGTCGCGGCTCTTAATAGAGTCGCGGCAACACACAGTCGTGGGAATGCTAAAACTAGACCTAGCCTAGCGGCCGCACGATTCAGGGCCTAAGTAGGCTCAAAACGCGCTAGGTATAGAGCCGTGACGCGGAGAAAGTAAGGGACATTTTTCTTTATTATTTTTTTTGACCACGGGGTTTACTCCGTACGAAGGGCCAGTGTCGTATCCGCGGCTTAAAAGGCTGGTCGCGGCACCATCAGGTTGAGCCGCCCGTTGAATGGGCGGCGGCGTGAGTGCTGCGGGACCACGAGGCCGCTGTGCCGACGGCGGCATGGCTGGCTTTGTGAAAGGGGGCCGACGAAGCCTGCCTATGGTCATGGTTGGGCAGCCTGCTGGGCTGCTACCCTTCATATAGAAGGGTAGCAGGCTTAGCTTTCGTGAAAGGAGCTAGTCTAGTAGGTTACCATGTCGAACTCTTACCGTGCAGATACCGGGATCAAAGCTGACAGGCCCTACTGGGTGCAACTCTTTTTGGAGCTGCCTTGCAGCGGGCGCGGTCGATCTCGACTGCACGATCACGTAGATCGCGCGGTCGAGATTGGCCGCGTGAGATTAGCATGGCCCCTGCGCAAGGACGGTACGCATAAATCGAGAAATGGTCCAAATTTTATTTTTTTTCTTGTTGTTCGATCCCAGAGGGATCGAACTCGGGTCTGTCTTTCAACAATTCGTGGGTATACACGACTGTGGCTGTTGGCTTATGCCAACGGTCTTATTACTAAAAAAAAAAAAAAAAAAAAAAACAGCGCCACATGGCGCACAAAGATGTGCCTCGGGCCACAATCCTTGAAGGTGACAGCAGGCGCCCAGTGAAAACGGGCAGTCGTTTTATTTCAGGTAAGTTGTTGTTGTTGTTGTTGTTGTTGTTGTTGTTGTTGTTGTTTTTTTTTTTTTTTTTCTTATTAGTTCTAAAATTTTTTAGATTCATTCTTCGTAGATCCCCTTCCCTCCTCGTTTCATTATAACAGTGCCCGTTCGTTTTGATGAACGGGCCTTACAGGATGAGCAAAATCGGATGAATCCGCATCTAAAACCGGGAAACGTACACTGCACAGAGAGAGAGAGAGGGAGAAAGGAGTCCTGCCTGGCGGTGGACTCCACGCTACTTCCAACTATAGGATGAGCAAAATCGAATGAATCTCTCGCTGGAACATGGAAATATACACTGCCACACTTTATCTCCCCCCCCCCCTCTTCGTTTTGGTTGGGGAGATAGGTGTCGTTGCTGAAGCAACGACCACCACTCCAGAGGCTGCACGAGGCAAACAATGTCTTTGCTGTTGAAGAAAACAGTCTCTTTAGACTGTGTGGGAGCACGATAGCTCCCACCTCATGGTGATACAAATTTTTGTAGTCGTGAGATCTAAGATCCTGTGGCTCATATCGCATGCGCGGGAGAAGAGGGAAAGTTGAGGGAGTTGGAGAGAGAGAGAGAGAAATGGGAGGATGAGAGAGAGGAGGACCTACTCCTCCCGACCTGCGAGCTGCGTCCCCGTTGTCAAGGGGGGGAAAAGAAAAAGACAAGAAAAGAAAAGAAGAAAAAGAAAAGAAAAAGAAAACGAGAAACGGGATCAATTTTTTTTGAAAATCTGTATTTTTTCAGTTTGCGTCAATATTTCTTTGGTGGCGTAAACTAATTTTGTCGGTTTTGAATTTTTTATGTAGGTAGCCAGGCACCTAGGCCATGAACGTGAATTGTTTCAGATTTTTTTATTGGGCTAATATTTGTCTAAAAATCATCAAAGGCGGGCTACTTTTTGCACCCCGCTGTCGAGCGCATCGGTCCGGCACCGCACGGGGCAGCGCGGGACCCTCCCGGCCGCGTCACGCAGGAGTGGGTTTAAATCCTTTGTCGCCAATACACATGGAGCTTCCGCAAGCCGCTCCGACCGAGTGCGCCAACCATACCTCCCGCGAGCCGCTATGACAAGATAGGGCCTATGCGAGGCACGACTTACCTCCACCTTACGGGAGTTGTCACCTCCCTTCGGTGGGCGTATCCCCGCTGAGCTACCAGTCCACAATACGAAAGTTGATCAGTTGCAATCGCAGAGGTGGACCATCCGAGGGCGTTTCTCGTTCGCTGTAGCATAGGGGGTACGCGCGGTAACATGCCTCTATCGGACCCGCACGCGAACCGACATCTTGGGGGGCTGGGTCCCAAGCGCGACTCGTCGTCGGTCGACTAGGACGCATCCCACACACCACGCGCATGCCACTCTACGAACACAAAAAAATAAAACACACACACACACCAAACAACGTGCGTGACAACACTCTTAGTCCCTTCAGTAGTCATCCCATAACTTTCCGACGCGGAAATCGGATAGGCGACACGCGCGAGACTTAGTATAAAACTGGGCGGACGCAGGGCTAACTCATATCGACTCGCAATGCAAGCTTACGCAAGCAGCCGCAATGATGACGTACTATGTAGTGCCCATAATCAAGCGGTCCCTCGTACCGCTTATGACACTAAAGTGACAGACTCGAAGTGTCGGGAGAGTCTAATCCCTCACGATATTGCACGGCTGAAGGAATAGTCGTGCAACCGCCACGAGACCTCTGGCCTTTGGTCTGAGCGTCTCGGTAGGCAAGGCAAATAGGCTCTGCATGGGGGAAGATTCCTTCCCTGCAGAGTCTAGGGCTTGGGATGTCTTGGACAAGGACCTTGAATCCCAGCCCGGGACCAACGTTCGACTATAAGAATCTTTAAAAAGCAAAAGGGTAAAAAGGGATCTCCCTTATCTCTCCAACCCATAATCTGTTTAACCCTTACGCGCGGTTACAATAGACCGCACGAAACACTCGAGACATATATACACACATATATATAGAGGGTTATTAATATAGGACGATCACTTCTCACAGTCACAGTGAGACTCTTCTTAGCCATATATATGTATATGATCGCAGGCAGTCAAATCCAAAGTCCGAATCACCAAACATACCTGCAATTAGATCAAAGATTCAACCGAAAGTCCACGCACTACACGGGGTCAGCTTCAACCATTCCCTGCACTCACACCCCCTGCTTTTAGCCATACAAACCTCACTCTTATGCACTCCTCAAAATAAAATACTCAGTACTTTTCTTTAAATGACCATTCAAATAAAGTCCGGGTGAAAACACAACAAAACAATCCAAATCACAAGGCTAAAGTCTTTAGGTTGAGTGGCAAGAGTGGATTGGAGTTGAGTCGTGAACCGACGAA